CTCCCCCCCGGCCGGGCGTTTCCTCCCCACATCCCCCCATTGGCGGGTGCCCACAGCCCGAGGCCCCTACTCACAGCGAACCCCCAGGCCAATGGTGGTGGCCAGGAGGAAGAGGCAGGCCCCCAGCAGGCCGAGGGGCAGGTACCGCGTGTTCCACCTGGGCTCTGCGGGAGAGAACCGGCTGCGTTAACGAGGGGAGCCCTGGGCACCAGCTTCCCCCCCACCCCCCGAGAGGGCAACGTGCCTGGGAACCCAACCCCACGGCCCATCTCCCCCCTCAGGCTACCCAGGCAATGGGGCTCAGCCCCCCAGGAGGGCAGTGGGAGCCAGGAGAGAGCTCCCAGTGCATGGGGCCCGCAGGGACACGACCAGGGCTTAGGCTACCAGCTCCAGTTCCCCACAGTGCGTGGCTGGCAGCCTGGTAAGAACGAGGGGGGATTTGATAGCAGCTTTCAACTACCTGCAAGGGGGTTCCATAGAGGATGGATCTAGACTGTTCTCAGTGGTGGCAGATGACAGAACAAGGAGTAATGGTCTCAAGTTGCTGTGGGAGAGGTCCAGGTTGGATATTAGGAAACACTATTTCACTAGGAGGGTGGTGAAGCACTGGAATGGCTTCCCTAGGGAGGTGGTGGAGTCTCCTTCCTGAGAGGTTTTCAAGGTCAGGCTTGACATGGCATGGCCAGCCCAGCTGCTGGAGTGCAGGGGACGCCCCGTGGGCAGGTCTGGGCTAATCCCAGGCGCTGGGTCATTCCGACTTGATCCCTGAGCCAGCCGGGAGTGGACCCCGCAGACAGCAAAGCCCCAGCAGCCCCCCCAAGCCCGTCTCTGGGGCCAGACGAGGTCCCTGGCCGGCTACGCTGGGCGCTCGCAGCTCCACTCAGAGCCGGGCGAGCGGCAGGGGGAGGCAGCTCCAGCCGGGCCCCCACCAAAGGAGGCTCCAGCGAGCGTCGGCCGCAGCAGCTCTGTAGGGCTCCACGCCCCAGGGCTGTTACACGGGGGCTCTGCAGCCAGCCGGGACACAGGACACAGCCCTTATTATATACGGCAATTCGCTACCATGGCCGCTTGTGTTTTGGTGTCTGCAGATGTAGCTCATGTCCCTGTTATAGACGTCAGTTCATTGCCATGACACTCTGGGGGTTGGTTGTCTCTGTGGTCAGAATTTCCCTTTAAACCCTCTATTTTCAGCTCCCCAGTACTGGCCGTTTATCTCTTCAAAGTTCATAGGCCTCAAGCTATACGCTCACTGCTGGAGCTAATGTCTTACAGGAGATGGGCTCTCAGGCTCCTCGCGTTACCGCTGACTATAATAACAGTGTGACGTTATTAACATAATCTGTAACCGTATAGATCACTGTTGCAACCACTGCTATATATTTGCAGCAAATATCTGGTCTCCCATGTTTAAGAAGGATGAATTCAAACTGGAACAGGTACAGAGAAGGGCCACTAGGATGATCCGAGGAATGGAAAACCTTCCTTATGGGAGGAGACTCAAGAGCTTGGCTTGTTTAGCCTAACCAAAAGAAGGCTGAGGGGAGATATGATTGTTCTCTATAAATATATCAGAGGGATAAATACCAGGGAGGGAGAGGAATTATTTAAGCTCAGGACCAATGTGGACACAAGAACAAATGGATATGAACTGCCCATCAGGAAGTTTAGACTTGAAATTAGATGAAGGTTTCTAACCATCAGAGGAGTGAAGTTCTGGAACAGCCTTCCAAGGGGAGTCGTGAGGGCAAAAGACGTATCTGGCTTCAAGACTAAGCTTGATAAGTTTATGGAGGGGATGGTATGATGGGATAGCTTAATTTTGGCAATTAATTGATCTTTGACTATTAGCGGTAAATATGCCCAATGGTCTGTGATGGGATCTGTTACTACACAGAATTCTTTCCTAGGTGCTGGCTGGTGAGTCTTGCCCACATGCTCAGAGTTTAGCCGATTGCCATATTTGGGGTCAGGAAGGAATTATCCCCCCGGGGCAGATTGGCAGAAGCCCTGGAGGGTTTTCGCCTTCCTCTGCAGCGTGGGGCACGGGCCACTTGCTGGAGGATTCTCTGCAGCTTGAAGTCTTTAAACCACGATTTGAGGACTTCAATGGCTCAGACACAGGTTTGATACAGGAGTGGGTGGGTGAGATTCTGTGGCCTGCGTTGTGCAGGGGGTCAGACTAGATGATCATAATGGTCCCTTCTGACCTTAAAGTCTATGATTCTATCGTACAAAGGTTGTCATGTGAGGTGTCTAAGACAAGGTTATCATTTGCTGGTTATGATTATTCATATATGGAGATATACCTATCTCATAGAACTGGAAAGGATCCTGAAAGGTCATCAAGTCCAGCTGAAGGGTTAAAATCCATGTGCATTTTATATAACAACCTGGTATATGGATTGTGCCAGCTCCTTTCCAGACCCGAAGTCCAGAGTTTGGTCTGGAGACCAGAGGCCTAGCAATAGTGATTAGCTAAGAGAAAGCTGGGGTAAACAAGACAACATTGCCTTTGCTAAGATA